GCAGATGAGTCAAGGAATCTCAGTGTAACTGTGGAGAACTTAGAGGAACTTTTGCGCTAGCTAGAGAATTTGGGCGAGCAGTTGGAACACCTGCAAGTAGAAATGCAGATCGAATCAAAGCCGCCTAAGTGGTTACTCCAGGAATTGCATGAGATTAAAGAAAGGATCCGCTATGGAGTGTTCAGAAGTTGCGGAAGTCCACTGAGCAAATTGTGAAAAGACAGAGGGTCGAGAAAATTTATGGAGAGACCCACACTAGTAAACCAAAGGGACTGGAAATTAAAAGGGGAGGAATTGCGCAGAATCCAGGGAAAGAATATAAAGAATCCTTCGCCCTAGCAACGATTGCAAAATTAAAAGGTCAACCTCGGAAACGTGAGAACGAGCCAAGTTGTGTATTTTGCCAAAAGAATCATTGGAGTAGTGAATGTCTCGAATACGTAACCAGGCAGATGCGAGTGGAAAGAATAAGGGAGCTCAAACAGTGCTGTAAGTGCTTAAGGACGGGTCATGTAGCAAAAAATTGTGAAAGACGGTTGCGCCCATGCTATCACTGTAAAATTCGTCATAACACAGCGCTTTGCGATCAACTTACAATAATTGGCCAACGCACGGGCTGCCCGTGCGAAGATGCAGTTTTCGTTTTCGTTGCTACCGACACCGGTTTTTTCGGCAAATGCTTCTCGCTAAACAAATTAAGACTGGCCGCCAGAATTGTCAGAAAACATCCCCTTATAATTTCAGCTTTTTAGCTTCCCTGCCACCTGAGTTAGCAACTTACTGGAACAAAATTTTCACGGGCCCTTGCATGTTTACCAAACATACCTGAGAGCTGGGTTCGAGCAGAATGAAACTTAGGTGGACGGAGTATATCCTCTTAAAATTACATTCGTTCAGCTTCTCAGGTACTCGAGTTATCAATTTACACGAAAAATATTTTGGCGGACCCGTATTTGGGTACCACGCTTACCGGGAGCTGGGTTTGGGCCCAGTAATAACCGCCTGGGCGGGGAACACTACCCTAAGATTTCAGCCTTCTAGCTTCTCAGATCCCCGAGTTATGAACTTGCCCGAAAAAAATTTTGGCGGGCTCTCCTAAATTTCAGCCTTCTAGCTTCTCAGATCCCCGAGTTATGAACTTACCCGAAAAAAATTTTGGCCGCTTACCCGGGGGCTGGGTTTGAGCCCACTAATAGCCGCTTGGGCGGGGAACGTTACCCCAAGATTTCACGCGGGTACTACGCCTACCCGGGGGCTGAGTTTGAGCTCACTAATACCCGCTTTGGGGTGGGGATTAGTGGGCTCAAACTCAGCCCCCGGGTAGGCGTGGTATCCGCGTACGAGCCCGCCAAAATTTGAAGAGCTAGAACGCTAAAATCTTTGGGGCTAAGATTTTAGCGTTCTAGCTCCTCAGATTCTCGAGTTATGAACTAACCCCAAAAAAAATTTGGCGGGTCCGTACGCCGGTACCACGCGGGTTTTGGCGCCCATTTTGGGGATTGGGGCCGGCACATGCATGTAGATTAAGTTCCCGAAATTTCAGCCCGCAGCTTTTATAGGTCCTGAGATGAAAGTACGTGAGAGACGCACACACAGACACACAGATGCACAGACACACAGACACACGGACACACAGACAACCCCTCGTCAATACGCGTTTTTCGCACTGCATTGCTGCAAAAAACGCATAAAAAGGGGAATGACTAGTAAGATACAAGCAGCTGTTATCAGCGAGACGCAAGAAGAAAATCCCCTCACCGTAACCACAGTAGCCAAGAGTGCTATAAATGAAAGAGAAAAAACTGTTCTTCTTTTGTGTACAGAAATAACAGTACAGAATCTGGAAAACGGAAAACGAGTGCAAAGAGCCACTGCATTATTTGACTTGGGGAGTCAGAAGTCCTTCATAGTTAAAGAATTTGCGACTAAGCTGGCATTACCATGCAAAAGAACGGAAAAACTGAAAGTAGCAGGATTCGGAGAAAGGGCCCCCAAGGAATATCACAGTGAACAGGTGGAAATAGGAGTAAAGCTTAAATGTGGCGTTTTGCAGAAGCTGAGGTGCAACACTGACCCGCTTATAACACAGAAACTTAGGACAGTATCGGTAAAGGAAGATTTATTAAAGGAGTCGTTATATGAGAAGGCAGTACCGCACACATTCACCAGCTGGAAAGAGTCGGGGCTGATTATTTTTTTAACTTTATAAGGCCCTCGAAGGTTGTTGAACTGGTTTCAGAATTCCAGCTTTTGGATACCAAAGTTGGGTTCATGTTGACAAGAAAGGGTTTCCTTCAGGGAAGCAGTCATGAAATCAAAGTTCAGGTTCACCCCATTTCCGTTGAAGTGGCAGTGAACAGCAAAAATTTTGATGTGGATCAATATTGGGCCTTAGAATCAGTGGCCATTAATCTCGAACAAGAAGAAAACGAAGAAGGAAGAGCCAGACAGCAGTTTCTGCGTAGCGTACACCGCGTGAACGGCCGTTACAGTGTTAGCTGGTCCTGGAAGACGTCAACAATCTTCTTGAATAGCAACTACGGTCTAGCGTTAGGACGGCTGAGATCGACTCTGAAGCGCTTGCGTGCAGATCCCGAGCTACTCCAGAAGTACGATGAGACGTTCCAAGAGCAATTAAATAATGAAATAATCGAGAGGGTAAACGGTTGCGGATCAGCTGGTGTTTTGTACTACATGTCACAACATGCAGTAGCAACGCTGCATAGGAACACAACTAAACTGCGAATCGTATTCGACGCCAGCGCAAAGACGGACAATAGCAAAAGTCTAAACGATGTTTTACGGCGAGGCCCAGTAATGCTCCCAAATCTGGTTGGAATAATCTTGAGATAGAGGATGATGAGTATAGCAATCACCGCCGATGTTGAGAAAGCGTTTTTGCAAGTACAGCTGAACGAACAGTATTGTTGCCGTTTCCTATGGGTCAACGATGTGAATGAAGAGCCGGAAGGAGAGAATTTGCTGAAATTTAGGTTTAAACGAGTTCCTTTTGGTGTTATCAGCAGCCCATTCATGTTAGCCATGGCAACAGATAAACATCTAAGCGATAAAGGTTCTATCCTAGCTCAAAGGGTAAAAGAAAATCTGTACGCAGACAACATAGTGCTTGGAGCCGAAACAACGGAAGAAGCTTTAACGTTGTATAAGGAGTGAAGGAATTATTCGCAGCTGTCAAAATGAATGTTAGAGAGTCAAGAACTCTATCGGGAAATTTTCTTTCTGGTAGGTGGTTCAGTTCGACAGAGTTAAAGGACCTGCCGATACCTGCCGATAAGAGTCATGACTGAATGCTAGAGACTCGATACACGGACCGCAGTAATTTCCACGCGGGAAGGATCTGAGAAATTTGGCGGAGAAGAATTGAAGCAGCGAAGAAGAACTGGTGACGCGTAGGATAATCGGAGTCGTGGAGAAATTGCTGCAATTTCCGCATTGCATAGCTGCAAAAAACGCATAATAAATTAGAGCAAACCTGGACCTTTAAATAAAAGCAAAAAGAAAGCCAGAGCAAATGAAAGCAAAAAAAAGGCAAATGCAAGAAAAAAACTGAGCTATGCGACTGAAAATTGTCCTGCAAAAACCCGTCGTCGGTGAGTGACTTCCCTATCTTATCAAGCGCATGCTTAGGTGAAGCTGAGAGCGAATAATTTCAGTTATAGGATATGAACTGAGCAAAACGAGAGCTAGACTGGATGTAGAGATGGAGTCCACCTTTGCTTGTGTAAGGTTGCCGAAGCCAGTACAATGGAACTACTGTGCAGAATTCTTTTAAATAGAATCGAGCATATTCGCTCTCAGCTTCAGAAATAGGGGAACTCCCTACTGAAAACGTGCTTTTGTAAGACAGTTTCCACCCGCATAAGCTCAGCTTTTCTTTTGCTTTTTATGCGTTTTTTGCAGCTACACAATGCAAAAACGCATATTGACGAAGGGTTGTCTGTGTGTCTGTGCGTCTGTGTGTGCGCCTGTCATGCAGTTTCATCTTAAGACCTATAAAAGCTGCATGGCTGAAATTTCGGGAACTTAATCTACATGCACGGGCCGGCCCCAATCCCCAAAATTGGCGCCATCACCCGCGTGGTACCCGCGTACGGGCCCGCCAAGTTTTTTCGGGGTAAGTTCATAATTCGGGGATCTGAGAAGCTAGAACGTTGAAATCTTTGGGGGATGTCCCCCGTCCAACTGAGTGTTAATGCACTCAAAACCATCCCCGGGGTAAGCGTGGTACCCGCGTACGGCCCCGCCGAAATTTTTTTCGGGTAAGTTCATAACTCGGGGATTTGAGAAGCTAGAATGCTGAAATATTAGGGGGATGTTCCCCGTTCAAGTAGGAGATAAATCAGGAGCCAGGGAAGCTAGGAAGTTGTGATTTTAAGGGGGGTGTTTCCTGACAGTTCTGGCGGCCAGCCTTAATTTGTTCAGCTAGAAGCATTTGCCGAAGAAACCGATGCCAGTAGCGACAAAAACTACTGGAAATTATTCAAAAAACGCATCTTCGCACGGGCAGACCGTGCATTGGCCAATTATTTCCCCTTTTGTTCATAGATTCCGATTCGTTGATTTCGCTCTTATTCACAAGCTCAGGTGTGTTTTTATTTCCTTTATAGTGCTGTATTGTCTCTTTCTCTTTACTGCTGTCGCCAGTCCTTGTCTCGAACTCCTAACTAGTACCCTTGTTCCCCCTCTCTGTCTTGTCTCCACAGCATCATCTATGCACTCGCTAACCACATCTATCTAACTGCGCCCCACCCTCTACCCAGTCCCCCGCCCCCTTCCCTCTCAACCATGTTGCCTAATCAACGAGCGCAGGTCAGCGCTTGCCGGCAAATTGCCAAGCTGTACCGGCAAGCGATGTCCTGAAATAGTATTAGTAGAGAAACGAGAGCGTCTCTTAATTGTGCTTGAGCAGAGCTGTGGTAATTGCTAGTAGTAATTGTGTCGTTCCAGCTGCAGCCGGTTCATAATCGGGCCGGTTGAGTATGGGGTTTTCGGCGAAGGAGCATCTCGAGAGGTGTCTGAAGGAGCGGAAAAATTACTCGGTGGCGAAGGCGCACTGCCGACTCTCCTCGCTCTATGCTGATTTTGATCCAGTGCTTACTGACGTAAGGAGCTCTTTGCGCACTTTTTATTCATTTCTCACACTGCCGTAAATATTTCAGGCTCAGGGCCACCGAGCCCAGGCAATGTTGAAGGGAGGGCCGGATAAAGGCCACTGTGCCGCATTTCACACTTGCTGATCCTCGGGCTGCTATCAGTTTGAACTGGCCACCCCCCAGGCACTCGAAAGGGCCCCCTGTCGAAAATGACAACGTGCGATGGTCAGTAAGTGCAGATGCTTGCGATGAAGCGGCAGTTCCACTCTCTTCCTGTTTGAGGGGGAGGCATCGTGAGAACGTGAGCATCGGCTGTGTTACTGACAATGACAATTGGCTCGTGCAGATGCATGATTTTTATGCGTTTTTTGCATCTGTGCAATGCAGAAGACGCATATGGACGAGGGGTTGTCTTTATGTGTGTGTGTGTGTGTGTGTGTCAGTGTATGCTTTTGTCATCTCGAGACTTACAAAAGCTACAGGACTGAAACTTTGGGAACTTAATCTGCATGTTTGTTTGGGCCTCCTTCCCCAAAATGGGCGCTCTTACTCACGCGGTACCCACGTGCGGGCCCGCCAAAGTTTTTAATGGGCAAGCTGCTAACACGGGAAACTGAAAAGTTAGAAGGCTGTAATTTTAAGGAGATGTTCCCCGTCCGCGTAGGTGCTAATGATTCGAAACCTAGCCCCCGGGTATTCGTGGTTCCTATGTGCGAGCCCGTAAAGGTTTTTTGCGGGCAAGTTACTGACTCGGGAACCAGGAAAGCTGAAATTTTAAAGGGATGCTTCCTGACAGTCCTGGCGGCCAGTCTCAATTCTTTTAACTAGAAGCATTTGTCGGAAAAACCGGTGCTGTTAGTGACAAAAATCTGCGAGGAACTATGCAAGAAACGCATCTTCGCACCGAAAATCATTGCGCTAGCCATTTATTGTTGGTTGGGCAGCAGGCCTGTCTGGAGCCAGTAGTTGTCATGTTCCCGGTGGAGGGATATCGGTTTAGCTGTCTTGCCGCGTCAGCACGGATCACTGGGCCACTTCCGGGGATTGCACTGAGCGAAGAGTTTTTTTCTTTTTTTTTTGCAGATCACGGAGCTGCTCTTCAACGTCAAATGGGGTCGCACGGCGGAGGCAGTTACGACGCTAGAGCGGATGTAAGTGCCATTTCTTGGGCCTACAGGCCATGTGGCAGAGTTGGCTTGCATCGTCTTTCTCGGTGGATACAGAGCTGCGCTGATTTCGATCCTCCTCCGAGCTCTTTCGTTGACTTGCTAGCGTATTTCACTTCAGCAAGGCTTCAGCGATGGCCAGCTGAAATTGCCATGGTTGTCGTGAAATTGTCACCATTTTTTCCGGTCTTTTTTAATGGCTTTCGAGATTTTCATCTATTACACATGCCGTGATCCTTCATAGCTGCCAGACTTTGCTGGAACAGATGCTGCTGGATTCTTTCGGGAATTATTTCGCTTCCCAGTGCCACGAAGAATTTTCCCCGCCGTTTTGGTGTGAAGGCGTTTTTTTTAATCAGCAAGGATGAAATTTTTCAGCTCGCATCGCTTCCCGTGTAAAATTTGAACTTGCGTTTTTCTTGTTACTAATTGGGGAAAGGCGTAGTTTTGCTGCGAAACAAATTTAACTGTTTGTACTATGTGCCCGCATGAAAGAGCCATTGTACGAGTGATCCCTGTGCAAATACAAAAGTGACTTTGGATTGCAGCAGGTGTGGGTGGATGTGGCATTAGGGTTATTCGAGGAGCCTCCCAACGGGTTCGCTCACCCACGTAAATATTCAGTATTTTGGTGATGCACTTTTTGCAGCAGCCTGATTTTGATGATGACAAATCCTTCAAGTTTCTCCATTTCTTTCGTAAAATTTTTCATTCTTTAGTGCACTTCTCGCATGCGTTGATGATTTTTCGTCGCTTCCTCCCGTCCTTTTTTCCCAGTTTTTGCGTA